TTTAACTAGTATCTGTATTGATTATGTTTAACTAGTATTTATATTGATTATGTTTAACTAGTATTTATATTGATTATGTTTAACTAGTATTTATATTGATTATGTTTAACTATTATTTATATTGATTATTTTTAACTAGTATTTATATTGATATTGATTATGTTTAACTAGTATACATATTGATTTTGATTGATGATATATAATGTCTTAAAATACAGCAAAACCAAATAATATACAATATATTTGAATGCTTTTAAGCAATATTCATGACGCAATATGTTTAGTATTTATATTGATTATGTTTAACTAGTATTTATATTGATTAATTTAACAGTATCCATAAAATATACAGAATTGATTATGTTGGTTAATTTGTTCTGTACCTCGGTTAGCAATGCTACTAACTTTCCATATTCTGTTTGATCTAGGAGGTAGATGTCACACTTTAAATTTGTTCTGTACCTCGGTTAGCAATGCTACTAACTTTCCATATTCTGTTTGATCTAGGAGGTAGATGTCTCACTTTAAATTTGTTCTGTACCTCGGTTAGCAATGCTACTAACTTTCCATATTCTGTTTGATCTAGGAGGTAGATGTCACACTTTAAATTTGTTCCAATTAGCAATTATGTTTATTTCTGCTTTAATCAATACAGGAAAAAGGGTTGATTTATATATACAGTTTTTTTTACCTGTGACACTATACATACATAATGCATATCCCAACCATTCTGAAATACAAAAAAACACTTTCTGTTGCAATTTGGCTGCGAAAAATATCAATTGATTGGACTAAACGTTCAATGGATAACACAAGTTTTTTAAACAGATTTTGATTTCATTACCCAAAAATACATAGTAAATTTAGGATAGATGGCTTTAGTTATGACCTTGACCTTTTATTATATGACCTTGACCTTTTCTTATATGACATTGACCTAATTGTAATGAAAGTTGAACAAGGTTGGCATCTGTGATATTGATTATACATCACAAACATGGTTATATACAAAGAACTACAACACAATCAAACCAAAGTTAGAAAAAACGTTAAATAGGTTTCATTAACAGGAAGTGAATGCATGATAAATGCACTTATTTATAACATTTTTTACATTGTAGCTGTAATCACTTTGCTTTTTGTTCAGTATCCATGATTTTCCTTGATACGAAATATTTATATAGCATATATATGCGTTATATACATCTATGTCTATATCATATCAAATTAAGGTTTATATTGATAAGGAACAGCTGACAAGCACTATGTAAACAGCCCTATGAAATATTACCTAATTGAATAAATAAAGAAACTGCATGTAAATGGCTTAAGGAATACCGGCTGCACTGGATGTTCACTACTTGCAATTAAAACTAAAATATTGGAAATCTACTTGTGTGACATTGAAGATGTTCAAGCACGGAGAGATACCGCCACTTTAAGCGTATGGATATGTCGTTAAATTTGTATACCTTTATGAACACAAATAGTTGTAGTCTTGTCGTTGGCTGCTTTAAACAAGGCCTTGATGTGAGAAAATATCAGATTTTCAACGCAATTTGTATATGCAACTATGGAGAAATATCAACTGTGACGTTAGTGATATAGGCATGTCGTTAAACGTCTGATAATTTATTAATGTTTAGTGTAAGTATTGTCTTTGTGATTGTCGTGGTCGTGTCACCGAATGTGTCCAGCTAAAGCATTGATGGGAGAAAATCACTACCATTATGTCAATATACTAAGCTTAAAGATATACATACAATAAAAACGCTGTTTGGATTTCGAAACAAATTTAAATCAAATGAAATTGGCACCGTCTAAAAGTGAGCGCATGTTGATCAACTTTCGAATTAATTGATTCATGGTTTCACTTAAGTATTTAAAAAAAACCCTTAAATCTTAGAAGATTTCATGAAGACGCACGCCGACATGTACCAATGTGTTACCACGGACTACTATCTATCTGGTGTTACATTTTCATCACCGTCTTCTTCTTTATCATCATCAGGTGGTGGGCGAGTTTCGCTGTGGTAACACACTTGTCTTTCTCCGTGCCGTCCGAGGTTCGATTCTCCGCGCGCGCTTACATCATGAGTGATAAGTAAAAGTTGAAATGAATACAGTTTATATACGGAGAGAATGTATAAAAAAAAAAGTGGATTACAAAATTGGAAAGGGGATGTTTGGAGGTGTGGTAAGCATTTAAGAATAGGTATTAGAACAAGTGCGCTTATGCACGACGATCATATCGAACACTGGAAACTGATGTAATGAGAATTACAACTTTATGAAGTATTTTGTATTTTGTTATTGTATAATATACGTAAATTGTAGGATTATTTACATAAATAGGATGCATTATTCTGTTATGTATCATTTTCTTATTCACTTTCTCTTCCGTTCGTTCACAAATTTGTTTCTAAGCATCTCCTCTTTATTACCAGTTTGGGGTTTACAATAAACAAGGACAGAACATCTACATTACTGAATTAATATTAATTAACTTGTATGAGTTATGTACAGACATTGTTTCATAATAAGCTAATTGTCAAATTTACCTCATCTCTGAAATGGTACAAACCGGAAGTGTTGTTAGTACTGATCTTACCAAAAGGAGATGTTTAACTTATGAAAACACGTATGATCGGTAGCTGAAGTTTGTTGGTTTTGTAATACCACCTACAATACCTTACAGCGCTCGCTGAGTTCACTAATAAAAGTGGGTCCCACTAGTCGATGTTAAACAAAGTTGCGATGTCTCGATTCGAGGGCTCGCTGTGTACTCTGAATAGGACATACATTATAATGTAAATGTGTCATCTGACGGAAACGTCTAAAGGATTTGACGAATTCGATGCGATAATGTCGTAAATAAAGGCATGTTTACAAAATGTGAATTTCAGCTGCTTCTTTATCAATAAGTACGAACGACATCGTCTGGAGTATCCTCAGATCAGTTGTTTTAGAGTGTTTTTTCTCTGCAATGCAAAGAAGGTACAGTTATATGTTACATAGAGGTCCTGTATTTAGGTCAATATCATTACACAGAGTAGGTACAAGTTTATTGTTATATACAAACTATATGAGATGATTTATTTGCTAAATATATATTGAAATACTTTAATTGTTTAATTGTACCTTAAGAGTTATTTCCCTTACCATGTTAATTCCGGATATTTCATTCCGTATCCTTTTTCATTTGATTGTAATTTTTTTTGCGGATATTTTTTTCTTATATTACGTAATATTTGTCACGAAAAAGTTTGAAAAATATAGAAGTTTGAGAGGTCAAAATTGAGATGCGTCCTTGTTTTGAATGTTTTCCAGTACTGCACAATATGCATGATATGCAACGGTTTTTTTTTCAGTTTAAATGAGCATGACTTATTCGAACAACATTTAACGAGTTTACAAGAAATAATATCCAGGCTAATCTCACTTCTAAATAAGAAGTATGATGGACGAGAATGACAGATTATAGATTCAATGTGAGAGAAGTCCTCAAAATATCCGTGTTAAATTGAGATTCGTCCTTGACACGAACATTGTTATTGATTTATTTGTGTGCTTTGTAACGAATTTACCGCAATAATAATCCCTTAAACATCGTACATGCATTTCACAACCAAGTAACTTTTCTATAAAGAAACAAATAATTATATTCTTTAATTTTTAATCTTAAAAAATGGGGAATGAAAATAGAAATGAAAAAGATAACCCCTGTTTCCTTTTAAAAGAGTTTATCAGATCGATGCTGTAGATAACTTAATTCTTAGAGTGTAGATACGTGTTATAGTGGTATAATTCGTTTGATCGTCTGACTTGTGTATACGCGTGTCAAGCAACGCGCAGGACAGGAAGTGAAGAAATAAAAACTGATTGTTGTGCTGTCTGTTGACAAAAACTACTGCACCGTAAGAGGTAGCGCTTTCAAAAGTTTTCAGCATGTGACCATGACCTTGACCTTTGATCTACATTTGGAAAATTGTGCATGCAATTAGCACAGTTTTAATGTTCCACTTAAGAATTTTGTTGTAACCGGTGGCATAGTATTTTATAAACACATTTTATTTCTACCGGTATTCGTATTTTAAAAACAGAAACACCAAAATGTTGCACTTCGGTATCTTTCAATTTCAATGATCATTGAAAGAAAAAGAACAGAAGGGGAAAGGCCCATCTTTGCAGGAACTAATAAAAAACAACGACCAATCCTGGACATATCGTGTATACCATAACGTACCTGTGTAAATTATATCAATACGATGATTATATGTACAGTCAAACTTTGTTATCTCGAACTCTTATAACTCAAAGACCCTGTATGATTCGAAGTATTTCTTCAGTCCCGGCCAAACTTAACACTAAAGATTCTACATTATTTAAATAAAATACTCAGTTATCTCGAAGTTTTCCTATCGTCCACCCGACTTCCACATAACAACGTTTGTGTGTCAAATATTTGGAGGCTGATAATGTTTCTGTGTTGGTAACGAAAAGTGATTACCCGGTATATAAAACAGTTTTATGAAATATTTTTTTTTCAATTTCATGATATGAAAAGGACTGGACAGATTTTGGCTATCCACTGTCGACGAGTAGTGATGAGGCGTGTAAGCTTTATGATGCGGCGATTTCACAGGTTAGTGTACAATCACCTAGATAAGCGTTAGAACAACGGGTACACGATCAGAATAATTAATAGAACCGAGATAAAACGATGTGATCAGCTACACATCAGTGTACGATTAACTAAACACGAAATATCAATTTAATACCAACTTTATTTCATTTTGATAATGAGTGGCAATACACAACGGCAAGAAGCTCGGATAATTAACCACGCCCCATTCTCCAGCAAAGAAGATTATAATGTCACTTGAAATGAATTGATTGTCTGTCATTAACTGTAATGTATTTGGTTGTGTATGTTGTTTTTTCACAGGATGATAGGAGGGGTTGACCAACTATAATTTGTTTTTCTTTCTGTTCAAAAGATGGTTGGATTTTACGAGGATCACAATTTCGGTGGCCTGGCGCGTACCATTGAAAAGATGTTCGAGGCCGACCCGGAGTTTGGTAAATTATCACATTGTGGTAGGAAATTGATTGGTAAAAATGCTGAAGAACACCCAGAGCTTGGTAAAATATACAAAATAAACAAAAAACTCTCCAGGTCCTTTATGCAATCGCCATGTATAATCACGATATTTTGAGTACCTATCCTTCTTCCGGAAGCTTTCTTTTCCGTTGGCATCCAATAGTTCATATATGATATCGAAAGTATAAGTGTGCCAAGAAACATTGTGTTGAACGATGATGACGTCACAAACGACGTCAGAGGCCCAACAGCACAACACAGGGATCATATAATAGTATATTTATCTACTCCTATTCTCATCCAATATTTATAATTTCTAATTCCTGTGATGATAGAATCAAAATACCATGTCGGAGGATCTATATTTATTGTCAACATGACAACAATTGACTTATATTTTATCAACTTACAATTTGCAGAGAATGTTTATCGATAATGCTTTGTTTGACTTGAAAATATCATTGATCACAATTCGCATGCTTTTAAGTAAGTTATTTTTAAGTATTCTCCGATTCTTGTATTTAATAGGCACGTGATGGAAGCCAAGTTTCGTCAATGTTGTAGTTTTATGACAGCAGATATCCATGAATACACGGGAACCGATCTTTAATAAATGAACAGATGTCGCACACTAAAGAATATCTTTCAATCGCAATCACTAATGTTTGTTGTTGTAAAATAAAATTAAGAAAAAAAGATGATTATTTGTGAAAGTAAGAAAAAACCCACGACAAATCCTTCATCTGTAATTTGTTAAAGTAACAGGTGTTGTTTGTGTAGAATTCCATTGATATAACTGTGTTCACCTTGATTTTCAGTTCTGGGACATATCCTAGCCATCAGTATAAAATTGGTAGGAACTGTGTTTATCGCTTCCGATGATCCAATCAGAAAAGAGGTTACAAAACTGGAGCAGCTCATGTCCAATAGAAACGTCACAGACATTGAATCGAAACACCTGGACGCAATCAGAAAACTGTTAGACGCGTGAGTGTGCTGACTGTTTATACTATAATACTATCAACGTGTGTTATCAGTGTGTAAAGTTCCGTTACATTGCCATCTGACCGTATGAGGCAACTTAAAGTGTCGCCAAGGCAATTTTTTTTTCTGTATTTCGGGATATTTTCTTCAGGTTGTTAATGTCAGTGTAATAGCTGTAGTCAAACTCACCTACTGCATTACACTCTACAACCTGAGGTCAGATGAACATTAAATTTGGAATTGAATGCATGATTCCGGAAAGGGTGATATATACTTCAATAATATTTACATGTATTGTATACGTGTCTATGTAAAAGAAAGAAAGAAATAGATAGAAAGAAGGAAAGAAGACGGGAAATAGATGAAAACTTAATGTTGTATGATATTTATGGAATGACACGAAATAAACTGACAACTTTATCTAGTCAGAGCAAACTTATTAGAGATGACAAAAAATAACTGCATGGATAAAAATCTTACCATCTTATCAGGTGTGACAAAACAATATCTCCCACACCCCCCTCGTCGCTATTTAGTACTGACCTGCTATGGCATACTCAAATCTTCTACTGGTTGTGATATAAGAACTTCCATGTATTGATTTTTTTCTGCGTCTTGTTCTACGGAAATTGACGGAAATGAATCTTCCGCCCCTAATCACAATATTTAAATTTTTTGTATTAAGCTTACTTTTATATTTATTTTCGTTTTTTTTATTCCGTTGGTGTTCCTCCCCTAACATTCGTCCTTGGTGATATAACAAATGACATACTCTAACTTCTATTTTGTTGTACATTTGTTTTGTAAGTGCTTGTGCTACTACGGCCGTTATATTTCAGAAAAAATATAACATATATGAGTATATAAACATATAATGAGATGACGAAAGGTTTTGATTTACAGAGCTATCAAGAATTTTAAACAAGCAGGAGGTGATCTCCGGATGAAAGAGTTTTCGGCAGATCAGAAAAGTTGATGGCTAATTTCACAAATTACTGTTACTTTATAGGATTTAATGTTTTTATACAAACAATGATAGATTATAAGTACATAGTTTAGGTTTTTTTTTATTTATTAGAGACCTGCCTGGAGCTGTTGCATTGTGGGATGCCATACTACACATGAATCCCTTGGATGTACTGGCTATACACCAAGCTTTTTTCGGCTGTGCTTTCCTTGGGTCGTTCGTGAAGGGTAGAGACATCCTCAGTAGAGTAGTGAATGAATGGAATTCAAGCATGCCTCTTTATGGGTAAGATGGTGTGAGGGGGTATTGCTAAAATTAAACATATTACTTACAACATTTTCTGGCGTATTGTTATCAGAGATTCCCTAATATAATATGGACATGGATTCCCTGGTGTAACGTTGACTGGGATTCCCTGGTGTAACGTTGACTGGGATTCCCTGGTGTGATGTTGACCGGGATTCCCTGGTGTAACGTTGACCGGGATTCCCTGGTGTAACGTTGACTGGGATTCCCTGGTGTAACATTGATTGGGATTCCCTGGTGTAACGTTGACTTGGGATTCCCTGGTGTAACGTTGACTTGGATTCCCTGGTGTAACGTTGACTGGGATTCCCTGGTGTGATGTTGACTGGGATTCCCTGGTGTAAAGTTGATTGGGATTCCCTGGTGTAACGTTGACTGGGGATTCCCTTGTGTGATGTTGACTGGGATTCCCTAATATAACTATGGATGGGATTCCCCGGTGAAATGTTGACTGGGATTCACTGGTGTAACGTTGGCTGAGATTCCCTGGTGTGATGTTGAGTGGGATTCCCTGGTGTGATGTTGACTGGGATTCCCTGGTGTGACGTTGACTGGGATTCCCTGGTGTGATGTTGAGTGGGATTCCCTGGTGTAACGTTGACTTGGATTCCCTGGTGTGACGTTGACTGGTATTCCCTGGTGTAACGTTGACTGGGATTCCCTGGTGTGACGTTGACTGGGATTCCCTGGTGTAACGTTGACTGGGATTCCCTAATATAACTATGACTGGGATTCCCCGGTGAAATGTTGAGTGGGATTCCCTGGTGTGATGTTGAGTGGAATTCCCTGGTGTAACATTGACTTGGATTTCCTGGTGTGATGTTGATTGGTACTCCCTGGTGTGATGTTGACCGGGATTCCCTGGTGTAACGTTGACTGGGATTCCCTGGTGTAACGTTGACTGGGATTCCCTGGTGTGATGTTGACTGGGATTCCCTGGTGTAACGTTGACTGGGATTCCCTGGTGTGATGTTGACTGGGATTCCCTGGTGTAAAATTGATTGGGATTCCCTGGTGTAACGTTGACTTGGGATTCCCTGGTGTAACGTTGACTTGGATTCCCTGGTGTAACGTTGACTGGGATTCCCTGGTGTGATGTTGACTGGGATTCCCTGGTGTAAAGTTGATTGGGATTCCCTGGTGTAACGTTGACTTGGATTCCCTGGTGTAACGTTGACTTGGATTCCCTGGTGTGACGTTGACTGTTATTCCCTGGTGTAACGTTGACTGGGATTCCCTGGTGTGACGTTGACTGGGATTCCCTGGTGTAACGTTGACTGGGATTCCCTAATATAACTATTACTGGGATTCCCCGGTGAAATGTTGAGTGGGATTCCCTGGTGTAACGTTGACTGGGATTCCCTGGTGTAACGTTGACTGGGATTCCCTGGTGTAACGTTGACTGGGGATTCCCTTGTGTGATGTTGACTGGGATTCCCTAATATAACTATGGATGGGATTCCCCGGTGAAATGTTGACTGGGATTCACTGGTGTAACGTTGGCTGAGATTCCCTGGTGTGATGTTGAGTGGGATTCGCTGGTGTGATGTTGACTGGGATTCCCTGGTGTGACGTTGACTGGGATTCCCTGGTGTGATGTTGAGTGGGATTCCCTGGTGTAACATTGACTTGGATTCCCTGGTGTGATGTTGATTGGTACTCCCTGGTGTGATGTTGACTTAGATTCCCTGACGTGATTTGGCCAGCAATTCTTTGATGTAATATTGACATGAACCACTGACATGTCGACAGAAATTCTCTGACGTGACTGTGACAGGGATTCCTCGACGTAATATTAACTGTGATTCCCTGACGTGACTGTGACAGGGATTCCTCGACGTAATATTAACTGTGATTCCCTGACGTGACTGTGACAGGGATTCCTCGACGTAATATTAACTGTGATTCTCCGACGTGATATTGACAGGTAATCACTGACATAATGTTGACAGGGACTGTTGGGATCTAGATGTAATAGTCTAAGATTCGTCCTCCCGTTATGAATTTATGAACACAACCTCGTTATGATCCTATCTACTATAAATACTTTCATTTCCAGATACTTTCTTGGCGAGTATGCATTCATGCTACAGGAAACATTCCTCTTCCGGCGGGCAGAATGTGACGCCCGGCGGGTGAGTTAACTAATACCACATTAAGCGATGTTCTAAGGTAAAACATTTGACCCGAGATCTGAGAGCTGGTATAACTATTTTGCACATAGGAGTGTTCTAGAGTGAATTTTACACACTTCAGGTACTGTGGAAAATGGAGCAAACGTTATCATTATGATAAAGGTTATAACGCAATCATGGAGGTTTTAGATTTAGATTTTAGATTTTTTATTTGGTAAAACACAATATTAAAATACATACAAACATGTAAAATAATAATTTTGTTGAACCAGGATAACACAGTAAAGTCCGAAGACTTATTTCCGCTGTGGTCCCTTTACATAGAAAACGTTACAATACAACATAAAATACAGTGACCTTACATAATACAAAATGCACAAATATTATTGATATAAAATATATATTTTGTAAAGAACCTAAAACTATTTAAACTAAAAGTTTGGCAGGAATATCATTGTATCACAGAAAATGTATCCAATTATGAGGTATTTTGTAAAAAATCTCGAACAGCTTTTTTAAAACTTTGTTTCCCGCTAGACAAACGTATTTCCACGGGAAGAGAGTTCCAGGCCTTTACTCCGTTAAAATAAAACGTTTTTGAAATTTGACCTTTACAAGAAGGCACAACAAAATTCAGACTAGAATTCCTTGTACTATAATAGTGTTGGTCACAAACTTTTGTAAATCTGGACAAAAAGTAACTAGGACATGTTCCATGGAATACATTGTACATATGATTGAGACAATTGTTTTGCTCTATTTTCCACGTTTAAGATATTTAACTGTGATAACACATTTTTATTTATACTATCTCTAGGACTAAGGTTACAAATAAAATGCACACACCTATTTTGTGCAACTTGTAGCTGTTGTTTCATTTTTTGGCTCAGACCGTGGTACCAACAACAATAATCAAAGTGACACAGAACAAGAGAATTACAAAGTGTTTTCCTATACCCAATGGGAGATCTTTACATTGCCTATAAAGGAAGTGGAGTCAAGAATTAACTTTCTTTATTATGTTATCAACAATATGTTCACCTGTTAAGCACTTATCTATATCGATACCGAGATAGCGCACTCGATCTGATGTTTGAATAGGTTGGTCATTAATAGTTACTTCAAAAGAGTCTATTTTGCTAAGTTTTTGCTTTGTACCAAAAAGAATGACTTCTGTTTTTCCAAGGTGCAAAGACAATTTATTATTTACTAGCCAAGTGTGACAATTAGATAACTCCTCCGATAGTTTTGCCTTGATTTCATTAGGATTTTTGCTTGAAAATAGAATCGTGCTATCATCTGCGTATAAAAGTAATTTAGAATCTTTACTACTTGAAAGCTCCATGTCATTTACATAACAAAGAAACAGAATGGGGCCAAGAATGCTCCCCCTGGGGTACCCCACATGTTACTTTTTGAGATGAAGACATCGCATTTTTTATTGAGACAACTTGGTCTCTAGATGATAGATATGAAGAAAACCACGATGTACACTCGACCCCCATGGACTTTAGTTTCTCACATAGTATCTGGTGGTCCACAGTGTCAAAGGCCTTTTGTAAATCCAAAAGTATCATCAAGTTTATATCAAGTCGACAACTTACTCTCTAAAATTAATAAAAGTAGTTTATTTTCTACTGAGTCCCGTTACAATTGGTGCATGCCACGTTATATTTTTGAAATGCTAGATATGGTGTGTAGACATGGACGAATTATTTAGAAATTGGATTGTGACATGTTTCATACATACTGTAAAATCGTTATTTTTTGTGGGGGATTTATTATCATTGGTTTCGTGGGTACTCTTAATCCATGAATTCATATGTTTGCCAACTGTCATACTAGGTCTATTTGATAAGTTGTGGACCTTGTATTGAAGACGTGAAGCAGGGATGTAAAGAAAAAATATTAAACTCAAGCGCCGCGGAAAACTCAGTAAAGGTGTCTTGTTCCACCAGGGCAATGCCTCTGTTCACAAGTCTGTAATTGCCATGGCTGCCATTAACGACTATGGCTTTGAATTGAGCATCCGCCTTTTTTTGTCTGATCTCACTCCATCAGACTTCCATCTATTTCCAAAATTGAAAATGGCAATTTCCGGTATCCAATTTCGGTCAGATAGTGGCACATATGCAGTGGAGGAATTTCTGCAGGTCAGGAAAAGGACTTCTGTAAAAGTGGCAATGAGGCCCTTAGCATCGCTGGCAAAAGTGAATAGAATCTGTAAGGGATTATGTTGAAAAAATAATGCAATATGTAAACCAGTAGACAAACCTCGTAATTAGAGTAAGTTCACCTGTTGAGCTATATTCATCCACGAAACCAAATGTCCATGAAACAGTGATTGTTTTAAATATCGAAAATTGAGTCCACGAAAATACATAATTTTACAGTATCAAAATCTCAAGACATCATATACAGTACTTCATGTTGATCAAAATGTGTGTATCCAGGTTTCATGTGTATGCTTTGTGCATTTCGTATTCATGTATATGTGGTGATCCACGTGGTTCATATCACACTCCTATCTGTTTATCATTACTACTTTCGAACATCCTTTTTTGGGAATGTCGTGGTTGCTTAGGCAGTTGTAGAATTTCTAAGCTAGGCGATTTGGTTCCGTAGATCGTGAGTTGGGGCTCGGAAAGGGCACATGTCAAAAGTTGTCTTCTTTGTTGTCTTTGTGTTACTAAAAATATATCACACTATATTATATTCTATATTATATTATATAAACAATGACAAAAAATGCAATTTACTTTGATTTATAACAACAGTTTTACTTATTGATATGCGTTCCATTAGCGTCAGGGTTACTGTGGGAATGAAACTCGTTTGTCCACTGTGTTGAAAAGTCCATGATTATTTTAGTGAACAAACTTCTTATACTAATGCCTAATATCAGAAACAACATTTTACATCGGTTCCTTTATTCCGGAATGGACGATAAGTTAGAAAACAATTACGCTCTACACTGTTTCAGGCATTAGAAATGAACAGACACGATATCTTTGCTCGTCACTCATTATCACATGTGTACGAGATGCAGGGTCGAGTGGACGAAGGACTCGGTCTTTTGGAGGGATCAGAAGCTGACTGGAATGTAAGCATATAATGCTTTTACCAAATATACAATATTTTCCCCAATAAATAAATGCAGAGTAAGAAAAAAATCATGGTATATTTTGCTTGCCTCTCCAAAAACTCTAACCATTTCTTTTGTTCACGTTAGTAGGCACCATTCGGTTTTGGCTACAATTTTGGTTTCTGTTAAATTCTATTACGTCTTAATCTAAATAACACTTCCACCAAGATGGCGCTGCTCAAATATGTTCTGATAAATGTTTTAGGCAGTTCAGATTTAAACCCCGTACAAAATTTCAGGATTATTTCCTTGTCGCAATTCGGAACTATACCGCTCATCCCAATAGGAATGGCTCCGCTTATCACAATCACTTTCTCATATTTGAGAGTTATTCCCCTTACCACAATTCTTATTTTTTAATAAAAATATTCAGATTAATTTCCTATTATCGCCATGATTTCTCATAACTGAGAGTTATCCCCCTTATCACTACTCTTTTTTTAATAAAAATATTCAAATTTATTCCACATTGTCTCAATAATTTTTCATATGTATTGTACTTATCACACTATCATCCTCATTACCACTTAAGCTATCCCTTATTACAATTTAAATGTATTTTACGGAGTTCTCCCCCTTATATCAGCTTGCTGTAGTATTTGCGTGCTTTTTACTGCAGTTGTGAATTTTATATTTTTAATTCCGTGATAAAGTTTATCTGTTAATTTATCATTTATTATGTTAACATTCTTGTTATGAGAAATCTGTGTTGAAAATTCGCCGTTAAAATATGTTGGAAATAACTGGGATATGATTCTTTGGCAGGTGTGTGACAAACTAGCCTGTCATATGTATTGGCACGACAGCTTGTATCACGTTGAAAAGGTAACAATTATCGTCTTAATGTTGACCCACAAGGGTAGCTTATTTCTCTCATTTTACCTAGTTCTAACGTCCAACGACTTCAGGACGGCATAGTCATTAGAACGTCAGAATAATTCGGATCAATTGAATTTGAGCTCCTCAATGGTTTTGAAACTAGAGTCTTTTTATAAAACCCCAGTCCATTACATGTACTGGCGACATCAATATTACTTCATCACTACTTCCTAATATGATGCAAATTATATTTATTTTACAACAATTGTGAAACAAGTTTTTCCAACTTATATTAATCACACTTGTTAGCCCGGATAGAAGCATGAGAGTGGAGGGTGGGAGGAAACCGGAGTACCCGAGGAAAACCCACGTGGTCGGGCAGGTGACCCCTTACTTTTTCACGTCGGTTCGGGGAATCGAACCCCGGAAGTCTTAGTGCGTCCTCGACCACCCTAAACTCTATTCATATTACATTTAAGGATTTACGAGCAAATAATTTCAAATTCCGCGTTCTTGCTCCACCGTTTACATGCTCTAGGATTTCACTCATTTTTCGTATTTCTGTTGAATACTAACTTCCGTGCGTTTGTATTAAGAATCATTGGTCTTTTTCTTCTCTGAAGAACACAGTAAGGGAGAGTTTTACAATGACTATCAATGTATCGTCTATCTAGCAAGTATCAACCTGATTAAATACAGATATTAATTGACCACTGCGTGGAACGGAAAGTATTGGAGTGGTCAGTTAAGATATGTATTTTAATCAAAATGAGGAAGCATCATTTTACGTTTTTGTATACAATGTCTATTCATGCATTTAATTACTTTCTCTGTTTCACAATTACAAAACTTATTTCATGTATACATCTCGTTATTGCATTATACACCAATGCCAAGATGATTTAAACTATCTCTATTTTTGTTGCCTCGTTTTTGTATTTTGTACGGTTACTCTCGAAGTGTAAGAATTTGTATAAAAAAGTTTTTTTTCTATAAAGCTATGTGTAGTGATAATAACGAACTAATTTCATATTTGAGGAACTTTGTGATGAAATGTCTTTATCAATGTAGGTTTAAGTTGATTATGTGCCGATGTATATTACGACGATTCTATACTGGTTTTTAATTTTCCTTTCCACTCTTTCACTCTCATGGTGTAATTATTCATTGTAATGACAAGTAAATGAGGTATCCATTAACATCATGATGAGATCAACTGCATGTTTTGTGTTCATTATGAAATAATTGACTAATCAAAAATAATTTGAATTAAGGGCAATTATGAAGAAGCACTTGGGATTTTCGATAATGAGGTAAGCGACTGGCTGAATGAAACCATGTGTTAGAGTATGACAAATCAGATTTACTTGTAAGGAACAATGATATTTTCTCTTTTCAAATTACACGTACGTCATATAGGAAATATCAATTGTCAGTTTGTTTGCGTTGTTATATTATTATCGATTTTTGGCCGGGTGGCAGATAGTGCAAATCCGGGTTATGGATTCATTCCGGACATTTTTCTGGATTTTTCGGGCTTTGGAACTCAGTTATTTTCCGCAGTTTTGCAGGGAAAAGGGGTACCAGTTTTGTAGAATCAACTCCTCCTGGAGTGTTTGACGTAGAACCTTGAAACTTTGTAGGATGTTTATATATATGTTGAAAATGCGCACCTCCTATTATGGATTCATTCCGGACATTTTACCGGTTTTTCCAGGCTTTGGAACTCAGTCATTTTCCGCAGTTTGGCAGGGAATAGTATAACAATACCAATATTAAATTGTGTACAGCAATGTTTCACTGAATTATTTTCTATAATTATATCATCTTCAAAATAGTTCCATGGTACTCCTATTCAATATCAAGTTATGACGTCAAAATACTGTAAAGTGATTTAAATTTGCGGTGTCAAAATTTCGCGCTTTTCTTTCTGGAAGTTATTCGCGGGATCGTAAATTCACATTATACAGTTTATTTCATTGTAATAATTGATAGCAAGTACAACTGACCTATTATCACAATTTTCACGGAAGTTTTAAATTCGCGCTTTGAAAGCAAATTGCGAATATAGCAAAATATAACCCCCGCCAAATAAAACCACTTTACAGTACAGAGATAAAGAACGAAGCTGTTCCTAGCCCACCATCCATAGTGGGCTGATCAAATCACCAGTCGTCCGTGGTCCATCATCTGTCCATTTCTGAAACTTTTCTTGTTGTCGTAGTTTCTCAGAAACTACTACAAGAATCTTTCCGAATTCCACACATAAAAACACCTTGGGGCCCTAGATGTCCATTGTCTATTTTTTGAACATCTCCGAATTAAAAATGGCTGCAACTTCTTTCTTCAAATGCCCTTCTTCTGCACCAATTCATAAAATACAACCAAACTCTCTCTCTTATAACAAATATTCTGCATACTCCACAAATGAAACACCCTTAACTGTCTTATAAATACCATATAACATTGCACTCATCCCCCAACCCGGCCAATTGTGGCTTTGCACCATTTTCGGTTTCTTTCTTTGCGTTGTTATTGAATTTTGTTTCAGCTTGTCAAGCGGTATAAAGGTTCAAAGTCTATAGGAGATTTAGTCGACTGCAGCTCTCTATTGTACAGACTTGAGCTCGAGAGTAAGTACAGTTTGGAAAGTTGGAGATATGGAGTTGATGAGGTGTGATTAAATGTGAGATTTAAGGTAGATTCAGTACTTAGTATCAAAGATATCTTTGAACCAATAACGAATAAGTAATTAATCTAATATTAGTCAATTTTCAGTTGTGGAGAATGAAAATACACAATAGAAGGACGTAATATCAAATGTGTTAAAATTTTATCTGGTAAGACTGATCTGTGATGTTTAAAGCGGGACTTATTGTAGAAACTAAATTCTCTTGTGTGATATGTTTAATGATAATCAGATACTCGTTGTTCAAGATGAAATTATTTGATAGTCACAACAGATAACATGTTTTCTTAGATAATTTCCTGTCCTCGGATTTTCACGATAGATAACAAGGTTTATTGGTTAATTTCCTGTCCTCGGATTTTCACGTTAGATAACATGGTTTCTTAGTTAATTTCCTGTCCTCGGATTTTCACGTTAGATAACATGGTTTCTTAGTTAATTTCCTGTTCTCGGATTTTCACGATAGATAACGAGGTTTCTTAGTTAATTTCCTGTCGTCGCCTTTTCACGACAGATGACAAGGTTTATTGGTTAATTTCCTGTCGTCGCCTTTTCACGACAGATGACAAGGTTTATTGGTTAATTTCCTGTCCTCGGATTTTCACGATAGATAACGAGGTTTCTTAGTTAATTTCCTCTCCTCGGATTTTCAGGTTTTTCTGTGGGGAAAAGATGGCATGATTTATTAGGAATTGTTGACGATGGAATTAAGAACCACTTCAACTCGTTTATTGACCCCCATGTCCTGATGACGTGTCTAGGAGCCAAAGATCACGATGCCTCACAGTCATTTATGGACACATTCCGGAAATCAATCAGGTACTTTTCCCTCAGGGAAAGACCATGGAACCCCGTCAAACAAAATATTCCAAGAGGTTGTCCTATAACTGAAACGATTACATATGTATTGGACAATCTTTGTAAGTTATAAAGTGATTTCTGAAACTATTGTCAGAACATATTAGTAAATCAAATAATCTTTCGTTTGTAATACGCACAAATGTGAAACTAAAATTATTTGGACTGGGAATAGGGTTTGTATTGTATGTGATTATTGTCACAAACGTCATCAGTAAGAGGGGGACAAATGGTGTGGCTATTTATATAACTAGTGGACTATTGGAAGTGCATAACTGTAAGATGTTACGATATATATATACCTTCATTTGGGAAACATAGAGGGGGATATGCATCTGTACTTTTTTGTCCGCAGCACAAAACTTTCTGATGATTCCTCAACATATTTACATATATGTAGTTATTAGTTCTACACCTGATGAAATTTTGATGCTCATCGGCCAAAGTTAAGACCCTGACCCAGTCAATACAGGTACACGTGTACATATGTATACATCAAAAGATACGTCTTATTGGTAATGTTATACAGGAATGGACATGGCCATAGCAGGGGTGTATCTGAGAGAATTGTTCTTCCCCTCTGTGAGGCTCTACAAGCACATAGCGAGGGGGACTTTGGGAATGCTGTAGATCTCACCTATCCCTTGCGGCACGGATTCTTCAATTTTGGTGGCAGCAACGCACAGGTGTGTTCTCCTGTAATGTACATGTGTACTTAGATAAAATTGTGACGTACTCAAAAATACCCTTTTCTATATACTTAGCGTGTCGTTTTCCTTCAAATACTGTTGTTTTATACTGAAATTTTCTTCATACATAGCTGACAAATGTTTAGTTTGTACTTTAAGAAATACAACAGTGAATTTTCTTCTGAAAACATCTTTTTTTAAAGATTTTTTTTGGAAATCTTTCATCCCTGATGTCAATTAGTGCAAATTTGACAGAATTATAGCCTCTCATAACTTGGCATTAATTTGAAATTTGTTATCATACCACAAATACTTCCAATCAAATGCCATTAAATCTATTTGAAGTTGTCGCCTATGTAGTTTTGAAAGAATACGTGCATTGTAAATATTGATGTATTAGAAACTCCTTTTTCCTTGTAGAGAGACATGTTTGATCTATTTCTGATTGATTCCGCTTTGAAGTCAGAGAGAAAAGAACACAGAAACGTGGGCAGGTAATAAATCAGTACATATTTAGATAAACATTATTGTCCAACGGGTAGTTTGATTTTGTTTGTTATTGGCATGTTTTCGTTTTGTTCATAAATAAAACACTTAGGTACAACATTATCATAAAAATGCCATTATCAGATTTGCATTCCTCTTCGATAATCAAGACGTTTATTTCGTACCTGTTTCGACAACGTGAATTGAATTCTTCCTACGTGACGCCAAACTCTACATTGACGTCTACACTCTGTTTAATAGGCAAGATCATAACGGCAAAGAATCCATCTACATAGAGTGCATCTATACTGTCATACACAGCCACAAAACGATATGTTTAGTTATACATTATCTTGTTTCTGGTATGGATAGGCATTACCGTAAGTGCAATGTTATCAATACTTCGAGGTCCTTGGTTCTTGAGCCTTAAAAATATTTCAAGTCGGAACATTTTTTATCAACAGTACAGGCGTGCGCTAGTATGTCCCATGCTTTAAACTGGAAATGAGATAAAAAGGAAATCAAAACATGTGCTTGATTCTGATTGATCTACTTTTTCGAACAAGATTTTAGCGAAGATTATACAGTGACATGTCTTTCACTTTTGCGCTTATTCTACGAGATATTCTATTTTTTCTCTCACTTTTTTCAATGGATTGTTTTTACTTTCTTTAGGGATGGATTTTTTTTACAATATTTGTCATTTTTTGAAAATGGTATTCATATTTTCTTTTCATAATACTCATTTAATTTTTCGTTGTTTATTTCAGGATTAATACAAAAATATCTTCACTGCTAATTTCCATGTGACCCATTTTCTTATACAAGCTCACCAAAATGTCGTCAAAATGGCATCCCAAAACTCGCATGTTGCAAATAATTTATTATATCCCTGATAATACACAAAGGAAAACAATGGAAATAATATATTAAATGAACAGAGCACAATTCTCCGTAAGTATTTCATTAAAAATGGTCCGTAAATGAAGCCAGGAAAATTAATTGAAATGTGTTAGAAATATAAAGAATCTAGAATAAAATTACAAAATATGAAAGATAAATGGTACGTCACTGTGTTAAGTTCACTCGGCATTCATCATTAGGGATGTTTAATTCCACATGAACGCAAGAACAGATATGTTTAAGTCGAGATACGTTTAATACGCCCGTCGAAAGACGAGTCATATTAGGTTATAATGAAGGCGGGCACATTGATAACGTGTGTAGTTTTCAACGCATCAACTTTTAACTCCATATGGAAGTTAAATGTTGATTCACAAAAAACTAGAATTATAATATTCACAGAAAAGGAAACATAGGAATCAAGCTAGATCTACATATTCTGATGAACAACTTGAAAGTGCTGACTCCTATTCATACTTGGGAATATTATTTAACTGCAGTGGTAACTTCTGTAAGGGAAAGGTTATCGGAGCAAGCGTAGACCTATTTGTTTGTTATGGGAAAATCAGAAATATTAGTCAACAAACTGATCAACGACAGAAATCATTTGATACTTTGATATCTCTTATATTACTGTACTCAGATTTTTGGGATTGAAAACTGTACAAAAGTTGAATAAATCCACTTAAAGTTCTGTAGAAAAAAACTGAACCTGAGGTGAAGTACTCCTAATTTCATGGATTATGGTGCCACTGGACGCTTTCCTTCAAATACAATTAAGAATGGTGCTTTTCTGGCAAAAACTGATAACACAAAATGATAGCAAACTGTCTGTGTATGTATAAGTTAATGTTTCAGTTACAGGGAAGGGGTGAAGTAACTTTTAAATGGATCAGTTATGTAAAACAAATACTTCATGATACTGGTTTTAATTAAATTTGGTCCTTTCAGCATGTAACAGATGAATAATAACTGCTTGAAGCATTTAGTACAACAGAGTCTTCAAGACCATTTTATACAATAATTATATGATGATACTGAAAATAGTAGCCGTGATCAAGTGTACTCTACTTTAAAAGTTAATTATGGAATCGAAAAGTATGTTTTGAAACTAAGCCATCAATAAAGAAATATTATAATTTCGCTCATCCGATCTTCAGTTACTAGTAGAAACAGGTAGACGGACAGAGATTCATCGATTAGTAATTTATGTACTGAGGAAGTTGGTGATGAATTTCATTATCTATTTAAATGTAATGATCCAAGTGCTTGTCAATTTCTACGTGAAGTCTGTCCGAAATTCCCAAATTTACACAAAATGAAGGATATGTTTATCTTATGTAATGCTTTAATGATATATATATAATGTAACTAGCAATGAATATGTATAGCTAGTAGATGTATCCATTTGATCATCACACAACATTGCTCAAACGGAAAAATTTATGACATTTTTACTACCATACATTTACAAATTACTTTCGTCGATATAGGCTGAAATTTCAGTTGTGAATAGCTCTAACACGGATTTTGATTTTTTTAAACTGAAGTAAATAGAAAGTATTTGTCATAAAAGTTAGCGAATCCTTGATCAAGAGTTTTCAGTTGTTAATCTTCAAATTTTAATTGCTACAGTAATAATCGATTGTTCTGTTCAAATGTATTTTCAAATTCTAGATCTTCTCGCAGTTAATTTGGTATAAATCAAATCCAGGGGTGTCTTTATCATACGCCCCTGACCAAATCAGATTACTGCGTCGTAAACTGTGTATAGGTCATAGAGTCAGACGATGGAAAATTACTGGCCCGTCCTTCAGAATAACTGACCATATGCACTCACATCATAAAATGTTACGTTTTTATTAAACAAATATTGTTGAACTGAATTGTACATTCTGATTGTTATAATAATCGTAGGAAGTGGTTGTTTTTTTGTGATTTTGAACATGGATATTTATTTTGTCACGGATTCAAATTTGAAATACGTCCGACGTGATATGATGTGTAATCTCTATGTAGACTACAACAGATGCTTAAATAATTATGTCTGCACGGATCTCCGAGTAAAACGGTACGTACTTAGTCTGTAATAGTAATTTGATAAAACCATTCATCCTGTGGGCTCTCGTGCCTGCGACTCGATAAACGCTAAGGGGACGTTACCCATGTTATCCCGTAGAATAGCTGCATAAGCAACTAGTTTTCAATGGATCAACTTCAAATTTCATAGGGAAGCTTATAACCAAGATAGATAATTTTTAGACTGTAATTTACGTAGTTATGGTCCCTTATTCATCCTCTCGTTATCGCAAGTAGTTTCCAACGAATCAACTTCAAACTTTATCGTTACCATAATAGCTTGGACAAGACCGATGACCGCAACTTTCGGACAAAATATTATGGAGTTATATCCCTTTATTAAATTACCGAAAGATTGTTCGCTCAATATCTCGATTAAATTTCAACAGATCAAGTTCAAACTTGATAGGAAGGTTAATTACCATGATCGTACTGACAAGTCCGAAGGTCGCATTTTCCTGACTGTAATTCACGGAGTTATGGCCCTTTATTCAATTATCAAAACAGTTGCTGCTCGACATCTCGATTAATTATAAACGGATCCACTTCAAACTTCATAGGCAGGTTTATTTTTCCTTATAACCAAAAAAAGGTTGGATAACCGCAACTTATGACCTATAATACACAGAGTTATGGTCCCTTATTTCAATTACCTAAACAGTGTCCGCTCGATATCTCGAGTTGCTTCCAACGGAAACACTTAAAACTTCATAGGGAGGTTCATTACCACCAAAGCTTAGACAAGCTTGATAACTAAAATTACTCGCCTGTAAATTTATTGAGTGATAGCCTTTGTAAAATAGATAAAACAAAAATTTGATATTTTTCGTGGACTCTCTCGGAATTTTATCGCCATTGACGATTGGTGGTTTAGTTTGGTTTCCTCCACCATTACATAACCAACATTGTCTGTAAATGAACATCACTCATTTTACCTAAGGCAAGCGCACCATAAACAGCCGCACGGAACTATTATTAAACGATGATAGATTGGAATTTCACAGTTCGTTCTACGGAAAGCTCCCGTGAGTCAGCTGTCCAAGGCTGATCATATATGCGGTGTGGTGGTATTTGTTCTATCTTTACCCATAGTAAATTTCAACAACCAGTACCTATGGGGCCTAGTGGCGCTTGGTATCATTGGGATAAACATGTTGTCTTTATTCCAAGCTATTTCATTTTCTTTTTAACAGGCATCTACTAGTGGAGAGAAAGGCTTTTAAAGAGAACTCTCCAATGACGGATCGCTTGTTGGAAAAGATACTGGTTTCCCATGTGAAATAAACATGGCTTCAAATGGTTACAAAACCTCTCCTTCACATTTTCAGAGGAAATATCTTACACTGGGTAGGCAAACCAGAACTTCAATTAGTAAACATTATTCAGAGTATCGACTGAAAATATGTGTTAGACGTCATAACAGGGAGAACAACACAACAGGATAAATTAACATAAACTTGTGGCTGTTGAAACCTTGTCCTGCAATGGCCTTCATGTCAGCGAGACCAAAGGTATTGGGTCTGTGAGAAACATTGATGTACGTATTGTACACAGGAATGAGAAAAACAGAAAATCTGAGTTGATAGTGTGTTGTACCCTAGTAATATCCAGAATATACCCAAGTTTGGAAACCTGACGTCACTTCTGGGTCACGGCGACGCGTCAGATACCTTTCCATTTACAATTACCACCAAACATGTTTGTGTTCTAGACCCTGTTGGTAATTATATGTGATTATCAAATCAATAAAGATAACTAAAAAAGTTTAAAACCAGGTAAGTATCTACACTTTCACTGTACCATAGGATGAATCAGGAGTATGACAGTCTTCAAGAGATTCCATGAAAGGATAGCATTCCGGGAAGCATTGAGAAAGGATTTATCGCTCGTCAGAATAGATAGAGCAATCAAAGAGGAAGACACAGTCCTCAACAACATATAGAATCCAAACACGTAGGCGTAAACTGGTATATAGACTGTAAACACTTAGGCGTAAACTGGTATATAGACTGTAAACACTTAGGCGTAAATTGTTATATAGACTGTAAACACTTAGGCGTAAATTGTTATATAGACTGTAAACACTTAGGCGTAAATTGTTATATAGACTGTAAACACTTAGGCGTAAACTGGTATATAGACTGTAAACACTTAGGCGTAAACTGGTATATAGACTGTAAATACTTAGGCGTAAATTGTTATATAGACTGTAAACACTTAGGCGTAAATTGTTATATAGACTGTAAACACTTAGGCGTAAATTGTTATATAGACTGTAAACACTTAGGCGTAAATTGATGTATAGACTGTAAACACTTAGGCGTAAATTGTTATGTAGACTGTAAACACTTAGGCGTAAATTGATATATAGACTGTAAACACTTAGGCGTAAATTGATGTATAGACTGTAAACACTTAGGCGTAAATTGTTATATAGACTGTAAACACTTAGGCGTAAATTGTTATATAGACTGTAAACACTTAGGCGTAAACTGGTATATAGAATCCAAACGCTCATGCGTAAATTGTTATATAGACTGTAAACACTTAGGCGTAAATTGATGTATAGACTGTAAACACTTAGGCGTAAATTGATGTATAGACTGTAAACACTTAGGCGTAAATTGATGTATAGACTGTAAACACTTAGGCGTAAATTGGTATATAGAATCCAAACGCTCATGCGTAAATTGTTATATAGACTGTAAATACTTAGGCGTAAATTGTTATATAGACTGTAAACACTTAGGCGTAAATTGATGTATAGAATCCAAACGCTCATGCGTAAATTGTTATATAGACTGTAAATACTTAGGCGTAAATTGTTATATAGACTGTAAACACTTAGGCGTAAATTGATGTATAGACTGTAAATACTTAGGCGTAAATTGTTATATAGACTGTAAACACTTAGGCGTAAATTGTTATATAGACTGTAAACACTTAGGCGTAAATTGATGTATAGACTGTAAATACTTAGGCGTAAATTGTTATATAGACTGTAAACACTTAGGCGTAAATTGATATATAGACTGTAACACTTATGCGTAAATTATTATATAGACTGTAAACACTTAGGCGTAAACTGGTATATAGAATCCAAACGCTCATGCGTAAATTGTTATATAGACTGTAAACACTTAGGCGTAAATTGTTATATAGACTGTAAACACTTAGGCGTAAACTGGTATATAGACTGTAAATACTTAGGCGTAAACTGGTATATAGAATCCAAACGCTCATGCGTAAATTGTTATATAGACTGTAAACACTTAGGCGTAAATTGTTATATAGACTGTAAACACTTAGGCGTAAATTGATATATAGACTGTAAACACTTAGGCGTAAATTGGTATATATTATATAGCCTGTAAACACTTAGGCATTAATTGATATATAGACTGTAAGCATTTAGGCGTTAATTGATGTATAGACTGTAAACACTTAGGCGTAAATTGTTATATAGACTGTAAATACTTAGGCTTAGGCGTAAACTGGTATATACTGTAAATACCAAATTGTTATATAGCTCATGCGTAAATTGTTATATAGACTGTAAACACTTAGGCGTAAATTGTTATATAGACTGTAAATACTTAGGCGTAAATTGATATATAGACGGTAAATACTTAGGCGTAAATTGATATATAGACTGTAAACACTTAGGCGTAAATTGATGTGTAGACTGTAAACACTTAGGCGTAAATTGTTATATAGACTTAAATACTTAGGCGTAAATAGATATATAGACTTAAATACTTAGGCGTAAATAGATAAAATCCAAATACTTAGGCCAAATTAAGAGAACCTCAATTCAGATTTAGAGATGTTTCTATGATTGTCGTTTCTGTCCTATGTTATTTGAAAGTTGCCGGAATTTGGCTGATCTGTAGTTGAGAAATGTTCAAGGTATCCAAGAAGTGATGTTGGGACTGGAGGATGGGGTGGGGTCTCAACCCAGGGGTAAATATTATTAAACTGGCGAACACCGCGAGGCTTCTCGTGTTTTTTTAACTTATTTATTTTCGAGCGGTTACCAATCCGAATTAGATCACACACAACTTTGCTTAACTTTGATAAATATACACGACATTCCACACAACTACGAAAGCTACATAATGGATAATTTAAGTTATCGAATTGTACTATTGAACCGCCACACACAGCCAACGATATTCCGGGGCTCTGTCGAGGCATTTACAACAAATTTACAGACAAACATCGCAATCAGAAGATAACAAAATCTAGTACAATTTATACACACATAAATATTCTGTTCATACTTTTTCTGAAAACTACAACTGCAAATATTATTTTCAAATGATATTTTGAATTTCGGTCTTATTTGTCATTAATTAAGGTATTGAATGTAAGTCACATCAATACATAACGATAAATTAAATAAAATAAAATAATTGCGACATGTTTATATGCGGGTTTAGGACGGGGTATCAAATTGCGACATGTTTATATGCGGGTTTGGGACAGGGTATCAAATTGCGACATGTTTATATGCGGGTTTAGGACGGAGTATCAAATTGCGACATGTTTATATGAGGGTTTAGGACAGGGTATCAAATTGCGACATGTTTATATGCGGGTTTAGGACGGGGTATCAAATTGCGACATGTTTATATGCGTGTTTAGGACGGGGTATCAAATTGCGACATGTTTATATGCGGGTTTAGGACGGGGTATCAAATTGCGACATGTTTATATGCGGGTTTAGGACGGGGTATCAAATTGCGACATGTTTATATGCGGGTTTAGGACGGGGTATCAAATGGCGACATGTTTATATGCGGGTTTAGGACGGGGTATCAAATGGCGACATGTTTATATGCGGGTTTAGGACGGAGTATCAAATTGCGACATGTTTATATGCGGTTTTAGGACGGGGTATCAAATTGCGACATGTTTATATGCGGGTTTAGGACGGAGTATCAAATTGCGACATGTTTATATGTGGGTTTAGGACGGGGTATCAAATTGCGACATGTTTATATGCGGGTTTAGGACGGGGTATCAAATGGCGACATGTTTATATGCGGTTTTAGGACGGGGTATCAAATGGCGACATGTTTATATGTGGGTTTAGGACGGGGTATCAAATGGCGACATGTTTATATGCGGGTTTAGGACGGGGTATCAAATGGCGACATGTTTATATGCGGGTTTAGGACGGGGTATCAAATGGCGACATGTTTATATGCGGGTTTAGGACGGAGTATCAAATTGCGACATGTTTATATGCGGGTTTAGGACGGGGTATCAAATTGCGACATGTTTTTATGCGGGTTTAGGACGGGGTATCAAACTGCGACATGTTTATAACTAAAGACCATCGTACAAACGATATAATTAACTATCGTAAAGGATTTCTTTCAGGAACAATGGAACTTTGCCCACGCACTGGATCAGATAAAAGTGTGTGGTATTTTTAGCATCTTTAGTGACTACCCATGAAATAGGATTTAAAACATTGAAAAGGTCCATAGGACCTGTGCTACGACCCATTTGGTGTCGTGACCATAGCAGTGTGACAGGATTCATTTGTTCGTTTGAAAATGTATTAAGACCACAGCGTACATTATCAAATGATGTAATGTTTGACTAACAAGGATCAGTTTGACAATATAGTGATAATAATGTATTAAAATACTGCAAAATAGGAAAAAAAAGCATGATTTTTTTTCATACTTTTTTCAGCTGAGGCAATTTTTCAAAGAACTGAAACATGTACTTCAACTTCGAGTGCACCAAAAACTTTTATATATTATTTGTTCCTTTATGCCAAGGACATTTGTTAAAATTTGAGTAAAATCAAGAACCGGTAAAGGTGTCATTGAAACGCCAAAAGATTTGTATTTCAATTTTAGTCAATTATGTGGTGTACCCAGTCATAAGATGTCTGCTTTGAATGAGAAGATTCTGCTGCAAGTTTCCATATAAAAAATAAAAATATATATATTGTCAATTTATAAAAAATAACAATCATGAATTTGAAAAAATGACACCAGAAAAGTTTTCCTGAAAGATTAAAACCTATTTCCGTTTTCAGTGCACTAGAAAGTCTATCGAATTACTTGGCTCATTATCTGAAGTACATACAGTGAAAGTTTCAGAAAAAAATTGAGAACCGGTAAAATTCCCATTTTAAGGCTCGAGCAAAGTTACTGTATTTCTAGAAATTGCGTGGTCAGAAGATGATACTACTGTTTTAGAGTCATCTAAACGAGCCTTGTAATATATTATCTCTACAACATTTTTTCATCCAAAGCTATTTGTTTCATAATGAATGCAAGAATAGAAAAAAAAGAATATTTTTTTAATATTCCGAGTAGTTTATAAAACCCTTTTAACACTCCGAACCAATAGTAAATGCCTCGTTCAGTAAGTTACTATTTTGAATCGTCTAAAGTTCCCAACGAGGCTATGTAATTACCTCTAGTTGCCTGTATTTCAAGCGGCGTTATCAACGGATTTTATCGCTGTCCTCAAACCGGAAACACTCACTAAACATTGATTTCCGGATTGAAAGTTAAACCAGCGTTACTTCGCCTACTTCTCAAGTGCCTGTAGACGGATCAGTCAGTGGCTTCGCTCCACACTTATTTTCTTGTTGCACTCCACAATTAAATCGGCGTTATACAAATGTATAATATATAATCTATAACTGTAACAAACGAATGGTATCGGAAAACATTGGTGATATGTCTTAAGTACTTTTCCTGAAGTGCTCGGATTTTTAATGTATTGTGCGTATATATAAGAATATATACAGAATGCAATACTATGCAAATACGCAGTACGAACTTATTTAAGTCAGAAATAGCCGCGCGCTGAACTGTTGTTGATATTTACAAATATATGAATAATGAAGATAATAACAATAAATATACATATATCATGCAATCAGAATCCTGGCCCGAAAAATTCTTTGTTGAATATTTTTTTGAAATTTCCGACATTGTTTGAAGGAGTTAGTTGGTTTTGGAAGATTAATGCTGAAAATTAAGCCGTTCAATCAAAAATTCCGAGTTGCAGTTAAAGATTAAAATTTTCGCTCAACACAGCAGTCAATTTTTAAATATTCATGTTTTTTTTAAACTATGTAGAAAATAGATACAATTAATTCCGACCCAGGTAAAGACAACTCTAACATCTGCACTGTGGTGTCGATGTGAACCAACGAAATTCCATTTTGTGTTATGAAACATATGAATCGCTGTTCATTCACGACTTAACAGTAATGTTAACAGTCAATATAAAAGTCACGTTTGAATCTTGCTTGAACGAGAATTTATTTTCCCAACCTAAGAATTACATTTATTCACTTTGAAGCGATCTTAGTGAATCGTGTTTTTGATGAAATTGAAGTGATTTTGTTGGAATAATCCGTAATTTTAACATGTAGCTCCCAACCGCTCACGATCAACCACGCCTCTATATACATTTGTATGTCTAATACATCACTTAAACATTGTCTAAAATTGGAAAAAATGTTTCCAGCTGAAATGATATGAATGAATAAAGACATGTACTCGACGTCTAGTAAACTAGACAAATGATTCAGTGAAAGTCAGACATTTCAGATAATTGAAGGAAACTGACAAAAACCTGAAATCACACAAAAACATGGTCGGCCTACGTTTTGAATATAAATGTTGATTTAATTGTTAATTATAAAACAATGCTAGTCTTGCTGAATCAGAATGGTAGTATGATGTGTTTTATTTATGAATAATTTACGTGTGATCATGGTTGTAGAAAAAAAGGTATGTTTCTTAGAGTCGGGAATAGTACAAACACCTATGAAATCATGTTCCAAGTCCATAAACACATGATGATAGACATCTCATTTAAATTAGAGAAAAAGACGACAATAATCTGTCTGTTTAAGAAAAGTGTTTGCAATAGATGATTTTACTGAACTGCATTTGAAGCTCTTGATGATGGTAAACTGAACATACTAAGATTTTGTCACAAGAAAAAAGGTTGCCTTTAACAGGTGTTCTATCAGTTCAACATTACCGATGATTTGAGGTGAAAGTTAAACTAAGTTTGACCGAATACGGTTAGGGATGAAAATGTACAATTAGGAATAAAACGGATTTCACATGGATTCTGGATAATCACTGAACCAAATGAGAATTATATCAATATGTTACATGTTTGTTCTGCTGTAGTCCAGGCACATATAAAATATTTCCTGTGTATTCATTAAAAAAAATGACCTTTTCATTCGCTTTATCGCCAAGGGTTCCATATACTTAGCCCCTCCCCCATCCCGATGTTGACCTTAACACGGTGGTGTGTAATGACAGTGAGGTGAGCAAACGCTTTATTGTAGATGAAAATCAAAATAAATTAATTGTCAAATACATATCGGATCTTTCATAAGTTTCATTTCAAATGAAATTTTATCACACAAGTAATTTTTTTTTAATCTTCGAGATAGATTTCATGGTCACATTATATGAAAACAAATTTAAAGATACTTTTCATCACATATTCAGAAAAGTGACATTTTGACAGGTTTAAAGTAAAAATGCGGACGACAAAATAAAACGGAAGTAACCAACTGGTTGTGCCATTTTTAATTTGTGACGTAACGTCTTTGTCCGTAGTATGTCATTACATAATACATGGGCGAATAGACATACTAAAATAACATATGGTTCTGATTTTTTAGGTAAAATTGAAATAAACTGAACGAGATGAACACCTCCAATGAACGATTAATATTGAATGGTTTGAAATGCATATTGACAAAAAAATTAAAAAAAAAAATGGAAACAAAAAACAAAAAATACAATCATGTTTAAACTCAAACAAGTTTAATTATCTTAATTCTTAAAATAAGTTTTAATTAAGATAAATTCAGTTTTTATCAAACCTGTTTTTTCATTATTTCTCGACCTCTAAATAACTCTGTTTTAAATTTCAGGTCCCCCCCCACCCACCCACACACACACACACACTCCCTCGGTCTTCTGAACGATGCAACAATTATGTATAATTATATCCATTTAATAACGCTATATAACATAACAATTTTGACATCAGGGTACTGTTAGAGTTGACACAAATATGTTAATTATTTACATAAAGAGAAAATTGCAGAAAATAACACTAGATTGTAGGGTTATCGCCGACATCTGGTATTTTTACGTATATAATAATACAATTTCTGGTACAGCAGCTTGCATTCTCGTCGGAAACGTTCGTCTACAAAGCAATAAACTATTGGGTTGGCAACATTACTCAGGAAGTAAGATCTCACGAGAATGGCATTAAATGCCCCCAAACGTTCGTCAATGGCGTCGTACGTGTCACCTCTTATTCCTTTGATTATCATTAACACCATATTTGGTAAATATCCCACATATGAGGCCGCTGTGGCGACAAGAAACATAAAAGCAATTTGTTTGCTCCTGTCTAAGCCTCGTTTTCGCTTGCTTTTTTGTTTAGTGTTTTCTTTTGGGGACTTTATAGAAGTCATTTCTTTGCTAGTGACTCGCGCAAAACTGGATTCTTCGTCCTGATGTCCACTACTATCCATGTCCACACTTTTCTCATTTCCGGTACTGGACTTCCGGTTTGATGCGGATGCTGAATGAGATTTACTTCTGAATAACATTTGGTTATAAAGTATTCTCCCGACAAATGAATAGGTAAAGATACACAAAATAAACACGACAGTGCTGATAAATAACAAGAACACTGAATACCCCTTAAACAAAGAGGTTTCCTTGTATTTCTCCATAACGGTACATTCTGTTCCAGTGAGGTTTAAATATGACGGAACCTGTTTAGAGACAACACCATACACGACTCCAGAAATGATCGAAAGACCCATGGCAACAAGGGTGGCAACCAGGCATGCACATTGGGCAGCCCGAAGCGTTAGTTGCGTTCCCAGCGGAACACATATCTTCCGATAACGTTCCACCGCGATAACTCCAAGGAGAAAACCGGAACACGTACTGACGAAGTAGTTCAGGGCTTTAAACAATTTACACAAAGGAACAATAGAAAATGTCAAGTTGTAGCGTATGTCGAAACTTTCAAACGGCATACAAAGTAGAGATGCGGTAAGGTCCACAGAAGCTAACCACAGTACAAATGTGCGATGGTTGGAGGGTTTGTACCGACATGAATACACTGTGACAGCGTGGGCGTTACCAACGACTCCTATAACACACAATACAGCAAGATAAATGACCACAGGTACGTCATTCTGGATGAACAAATCAAACTCCACATCTGATAAACTGACAGAGCTGGAAACATTTAAAGGCTTGTCTAGAAGTGTGAATCCAAACACACCCGTTCTGTTTCTCTCTTCCGTTAACCGTGAAGACAGAAGCCCACTAGCGGTGGCCATTGCTGGTTAAATATCTGCGTTCTGGCTTGTTTCTCACATCCTTCTAACGAAATTAATTTCACCGACAACTTGACATGTTAATTATTTTGTTGACAATTCGAGGGGATTTTCTGCCATGAATGATATATACTGACACGAATAGCTAATATATAGCACGGTGATGATCTCATATAGTCCATGACTCGGTCACTTCAGAGGCCAACGAAGGGATAAACTACTGCATATCATACAGTCAGGACATCAAACAACTCTAAAACAATGCTTACGGCATAGCGTTCTATCCTTACTATCTCTGTCTATACAAAAAGTTTTCTTACTACCGTTCATTTACCTTTTTACTAGAAAAAGAAATCCTTTATGGGCCCCCAGCACTTTCAATTAAAACCTCAGTTCCGGAACAAAGGTCAAAAGTGAGGCAAATTTTCAATAAGTGACCTTTGACTGTCGCTATAAGTCTGCCTACTTCAGTACAGATAGAGTCGTGAGAAATTTGTCCTTAAACTGTCGCCAACATTTGTCTCCTAAAGAGTGCTAATTTGTAAAGTCGGTGTAATTGGAGACAAAGAAATATGAGATGAAGCCGTATAAGAGAGGCGTTGAGTCAATAGCTGTCGTGAATAATCGTCATAAATAAAACAGATCTGTAAATTATTATACACATTGTATTTAACAAATAGTTCTTCCTTGAGCAGTCGGAAATGACTTCTTCATTTGTTTTTATCTTGATTATTATCAGTTTTCATTGTTTTGATTATAATACTGTACCTATAAAGTTGATATATTTGTTAAAAACTGTATGTTTGCTCCGTTTGTAGTCTTACAACCATGGAAGGAGACTTGTAAAACGTTCCTTCTTAATCCGATTTCCGTCAAACATCACTGGTTTGAACTTATATTTATAACAATTCCACTCTAGATTTCTGAATAAGGATCGAAAAAACAAAAATACGATGTTCTACTTGAGCCATATCACACTCCGATTTTTCGTCTAGCTCAGCTCTTTGAGATTTTAAGTCTACAACCAAGCCTTTTGGAAATATTAAAAAAAACTCAAACAAAAAAATAAACAAACACAACAAAACAGAAAATGAACTTGAAATGTGTTTCAAACTATGAGTTAATATGATAATTTTTCGTACCATTTTTTTCTGACAGACTTAGCTATAATTTGTACGATGCTGATAATCTTATGATCCATTTAACACTTACACTAAAATAATTTGAAATTCGAGACAACTAAACTTAAATGCACTGAACAATTGTTAATGAATTTTGGAACACAGCGTAAAACTTTTCAATACTTTATCTAGAATATGATTTTAGAATATATGGGCCCAAGTTGTTTTCTTAATCACAAATATTTTATGGTAGCATTTTATTTTTTAAATTATTGATTAAAATGTTTACTTCAGATAATGAAGCATATTTTATCAACAGACTTTACAGGTTAGAGTTGTTTTACATAGAATTATTCCATAAGTACGTAAAAATGTATATACACACATATGCATACATGTATCGTATGTGTTCATCAATTCTAGTTTCTTGCCACAGGGGACACAGACGAGTAGCAGTCAACTTGCTGGCTACATATAAATAACCAGGCAGTGTATATATCGAAACACTTCGCCCGAAAACCTACATTCGTCGGAGTGACAACGCCTAAAAATAAGACGAGCCAAACAAACATGTTTCCAACCAACCAACCCACATATTTTCCTAGTCAAGTGTTTTTCTTTACACCTGAAATCAATCAACCATGTCTGTTCGTTTGGCACAAACACTTATATTCAAGTAGGAAATTAACTCCTGATTCAGGTACGGATATTTGGATATAGAGGGTATCAACTTAATCGTCCTGTAAAAGTCTTATTGATTAAGGAATTTCTTTATTATCTGTCGAAATGTAATGACACAGTGATGCCATGCTTAAGACTTAAGAACTATTCAGATCATGATAAAGATGACCGACAACCGCGTGAAGTTAATTTTGTAATCCGTAACCTCGAAGTGTATCATTAAAACGGTAAATATGTAGAGAAAGCTGGTGTATGAGCACATTAACGTTTTTCTTTTCCGTCTTAAAAATTCATTTTCCATTTCTTGATAGCAACAAACCTGCATCGTCAACCTACAGTGTTTACATGTATATTAAGGTTTTATTCCTAGTATCAAGATTTTCGTGCAAGATGTTGACAAAAGCATAACATAGGGTTTGGGTTGGTGCAAGTTTTACAGCAATGCTAAATAATATCAAAGAATGTCATTCACAAAATAGTCACAAATTGGCGAAGTGCAGACAGTTATAATTGTCTGGACCAGATCGGAACAATGAAATCGAAAACCATTTGAAATATTTTCACCAAAAACTTCAATGATCTATTTGGCCAAAAGTTATTTTCACTTTTAATCACATAAGAAAGCCTTATATTTCAAAACATGAAATAATTTTTCGTTGATGAAATAGACAAAAATGATATTGGTTGGTAGTAATCGTGATGTATAATTTCAAAAATAATTACGTAGTGTTTGTATTTACTTTGAAATAAATATGTTTTATAATTTTTTTTCTCTTATTTATGATGCATTGGTTTAAGAAGTCAGCTCGACGGTTTACGACGGTCAGTATACAGTATGTTCATGGCCGAAGTAGAGTACCGTGACTTATGATATAGGAATGTACGCTATGTAGGATGGCCACTGTCAATACTGATACACTGACCACTGTCCTGGCAACACTACAGTGGGGTGTTCACCACTGGAATATCGAAAGATAACATTTTTATTTATTTATCTTTCAGTCTTTCAAATTTTCAGTTGACGAATCGAATTTTATGAAAACATTTTTGTGAAATGTCAGATAAATTTTAAAGTCATTCTCCTTTGTTCTTTTGTATCTATCTCCCTGACTAAGAAGTCAGTTTTCTAGTAGCTGTGCGTGTTTCTGTCTTTCTGTCTCCTCTGTCTGTCATTCTGTTTGTCTGTCTGTCTCTTTTCTCTGTCTGTCTGTCTGTCTCTCTCTCTCTGTCTGTCTGTCTGTCTGTGTCTGTCTGTCTGTCTGTTAGTGTCTGTCTGTCTGTCTGTGTCTGTATCTGTGTCTGTCTGTCAGACTGTGCCTGTCTCTCTGTCTGTCTGTCTCTCTGTCTGTAACTGTGTCGGTCTCTCTGTCTGTCTGTCTGTCTGTCTCTCTTTCTCTGTATGTGATTAATCCACTGCTGTAATGAAGTAAATATATAGAGGTTATTTATAACTACTGATGGAAGCTTCAGAACAAATTGATCACACAACATATATGTGGTCATTACAACCTATCAGGTAGACATTCCTAGAATAACAGCCCAGAAACAGTCTACTTGTGTGACACTCCTCACTCACCCCTCCTGTCCTAACCCCTGTCTGTCCTCCCACCTCCATAAAAACAAATCCCCCGGATGAAGGATCACAGGATTCGTCTTCTTGTCAGTTGTTTTGAGTTAACCATCTCGCAGTTTTTGGTTCCGCAATTCAGACATGTCGCTGTAAGATCAGTACACGTTTTAAGTCGTATACGGACGCATGGGCCACGCAACAGATGTCTTCGTAAGGCTTAGCCACCCTGGTACGTTATACGATATATCATGTCATTGACAATGTGTCTTCGTAAGGCTTAGCCACCCAGGTACGTTATACAATATATCATGTCATTGACAACGTGTCTTCGTAAGGCTTAGCCACCCAGGTAGGTTATACGATATATCATGTCATTGACAACGTGTCTTCGTTAGGCTTAGCCACCCAGGTACGTTATACGATATATCATGTCATTGACAATGTGTCTTCGTAAGGCTTAGCCACCCAGGTACGTTATACAATATATCATGTCATTGACAACGTGTCTTCGTAAGGCTTAGCCACCCAGGTAGGTTATACGATATATCATGTCATTGACAACGTGTCTTCGTTAGGCTTAGCCACCCAGGTACGTTATACGATATATCATGTCATTGACAATGTGTCTTCGTAAGGCTTAGCCACCCAGGTACGTTATACGATATATTATGTCATTGAAAATGTGTCTTCGTAAGGCTTAGCCACCCAGGTAGGTTATACGAAATATCATGTCAATGACAATGTGTCTTCGTAAGGCTTAGCCACCCAGGTAGGTTATACGAAATATCATGTCATTGACAACGTGTCTTCGTAAGGCTTAGCCACCCAAGTACGTTATACGAAATATCATGTCATTGACAATGTGCCTTCGTAAGGCTTAGCCACCCAGGTACGTTATACGAAATATCATGTCATTGACAATGTGTCTTCGTAAGATTGAGTAACTCAAACAGGTGCATTCGTAATACTGAGTCACTCAAAAAGGTGTCTTCCTAACACCGAGTCACTCAAAAAGGTGTATACGGATCACAGATCCACTTAAAACGGAAATTCACTAGTGTCGTCACGCTGAAATATAAAACCGATAGCTTGGCACTCCACTTTCAGTATGTTGACAATGGACTAACCAGTGATTACATGCTATTAAATAAATCTGCTATTAACCTCATTACCTCTACTACACTGTAGTACAGTGCATTAGTGTATCTTCCACCCACTTCCTCCTCCCATCATAATTGCTGGTGTTTATTACGAGTACATTCACACACAACTATTAGACTACAAAGTTGACCTTTTGACCTCATAGCTAATGATTGTATCATCTGACCTACTGTATCTATGGTAGTATAAGCTGTTTGGTTACAGCTAAGGCCAAACAGTCGTGGGCATATTTATCGTGAAAAGAAAGGAAGATCTTTTATTATGCTAATCAATAATAACATGATTTTATATAAGCGACCCCACTCCCCCACCCCCACCCCCAACCCTCCCCACCACTTCCCACTACTTCCCACCCCTAGTTGCAAAGTAACAGCAATCATCATTACTATCAGCCATAAAGTTGAGACAAGGAAGTGGAATGTTTTGTGGTAATGGCGGCTAGCAATGTGGCTGACATTTGGTCTTGCTCATCCAGACGCTTGATAAGTCCGTAATCATTACGTGCAAAGACAATAAGACTATAGTTGAAAAACATTTAGCCACATTTGTTTACCACAGTAAAATA